CATACAACATATTATAATAGTGGAACACTACGGTGTATTTCGGCATTGCGAGATTCTGGCACTGCGGGTACCTACACGGAAAACAGGGAAAACTTGCCAATTCTCGTGACTCTAAAATCTCACGATACCAGAACACACTATAAAGGACAAATGATCCCGCACCCACATTACCTCCCGGTAACCCATTCAAAATGATGACTCTCGCCGATGACTTTTACATGCAACTTCTGTGAACTGATTAGTTCCGTACTTGACCCCATATGTATATGCATGTAAGATGCGTAGTGATTTCTGATATTATATACAGCTTACGTACTATTAATGCTACATTCATCTCTCATATAGTTATTTAATGCTTTATCACTTTATAGAATTATTTCACATAAGTTTTAATAATGTCTAACTGAAGTAGATGTACCCTTAAGGTCTTGGGGAGGGCAGCTAGTGTGAATGGACTGGAACTTATGCTTGCTGCTATCGGTGCTAACAGTAGGTTTCATGTTAGACAAAGGGTTGGTGAGAAGTGTCGAAATGATTCGGTTGTAAGAAACGGGCAGTACAGTTGGTGAATGTCTTAGGAGCGCTAGGGGGAGGGTCTGGTGCTGCCTTGGGGGTCCAAAGAATTATATAAAAGAGTATCCAGAAACGGCTCCGCCTAACCATTTTTTTACCCATTTCAGCCTGCACACTGAGTTACTCGAGTACTAGCCATTTTCAGAAGTATCCGGATGCCTTGGCTCCATGACAGGCGAAAAAGATGCCAAGCCATCCGAATACTTTTGAAAACGGCTAGTTCTTTGTGGTTAACCAACCCGTCAACCACCCGCCAAGACGTCTGGAGCAACTTTCGTCATTCCTCTCCCGTAGAAAGGGTCAAGGGTCCTGACGTCATGGCAACAAGAGCAACGACAGAGCACTGGCTTTTTGATGGCCGCTGAGGAGGGAGGATGTGAGGCAAGGGGTAGTCTAGTGGTAATAGTATTCTCACGAGTACTGATTACCGGTTCTTTGGAAATGGGTATGAGGTAAAAATGAAGCACTTCTTCGTCACCTTCTCTTCTTCGTTTCCTTCCGGTGCCGATGATGTCTACAACCATGGCGCCAAACGCTCCACCGAGACCGCGGCTCCCACCCTCTGGGTCCCTCCGTCCATCGCTCCCACAGCAGTCCCGCGTCAGCCGCCTCGACATCTTGCACGAGGAATTCAACACTCATGCCTTTGTCCACCCCGGCGACGGGCGCGTGCACATCGCTCTGAACAAGTTAAAGGATGGGCCATTATCTGCGCTACTTTCTAAGCTGAGTAGCAACAAAGATGGTGACAATGATGATGATGATGGTGGTGGTGGTGGCAGTGGGCGGGGCACGGTGAAAGAAAAGAAAAAGGTAGCGTTGGATGAGATCACCCCGCCGAGATTGAATATCGTTATTATGGTGATTGGAAGTCGTGGGGATGTGCAGCCATTTGTGGCCGTTGCAAAGGTACTTAAGGGGAAGTATGGACATAGAGTGAGGCTTGCGACGCACCCCGCCTTTCGAGAATTCGTTGTCGCAGAGGGTGTGGACTTCTTTAGTGTTGGCGGGGATCCGGCAGAGCTGATGGCTTTTATGGTTAAGAATCCTGTGAGTGCTCGCATATCATATCATATCCTGGGGGGGAGGGAGAGGGCTGACGGCGTGGGTAGGGTCTGGTTCCGAGCATCGAGACGATTAGAGCTGGGGATGTGGTGCGTCGGAGAGAGCAGATGTTCGAGATGTTTCAGGGCTTTTGGAGGGCTTGTATTGAGCCGAACCATGGGAGTAAGAGGAAGAGCGGGTCTCGGGGAGGGAGTGTGGATGAGGAATCGTATAGAGGGAGGAAAGGGGCGGAAGCCGCACCATCTGCTACCGAAGAGATTATTAGTGGTGGTAGTGATGGTGATGATGAGGAGGGAGATTATCCATTCATTGCGGACGCGATAATTGCAAACCCCCCGTCCTTCGCACACGTGCACTGTGCGGAAAAGTTGGGGATTCCATTGCACTTGATGTTTACGTTTCCATATTCACCAACGCAGACTATGCCGCATCCGCTAGCCATGATTCAGAGCAGTAATCTTGGAAGGGACTATACGAATGCGATTTCCTACCCCATGATCGACATGATGACCTGGCAGGGACTGGGGGATTTGGTGAATAAGTTCCGACAAAAGACTCTGGGGTTGGAGCCCGTTGCGACGTTATGGGCTCCTGGGATGATTAGTCGGCTGAAGGTTCCGTTCACATATATGTGGTGTGCATTCTCCCTTCAAGCTTTCTCACTCCCGGGCATACTAACCTCATCCAGGTCGCCAGCGTTGATTCCAAAGCCCTATGACTGGGGCGACCATATCGACATCACAGGCTTCGTATTCCTAGACCTAGCCTCCTCCTTCAAACCTCCACGGGAACTCGCCAACTTTCTCGACGCAGGCCCACCGCCAGTCTACATAGGGTTTGGCTCAATAGTAGTCGACGATCCGGATGCGCTCACACAAACCATCTTCGCTGCAATAAAGTCTACAGGTGTGCGTGCTCTGGTCTCGAAGGGCTGGGGTGGGATCGGCAGCGAAGAATCGGCCATTCCCGAGAACTTGTTTATGCTGGATAACACCCCGCACGACTGGCTATTCTCGAAAGTCTCTGCGGTGGTGCACCATGGCGGAGCAGGGACGACGGCTATAGGTCTATACCACGGCAGACCGACCATGATCGTGCCGTTCTTTGGCGACCAGGCCTTCTGGGGCTCTATGGTTGCGAACGCCGGTGCGGGCGCGGAACCGGTCCCGCATAAAGAGCTGACGGTAGAGAAGTTGGCAGACGGGATAAAGAAGCTACTGAGTGAGGAATGCCAGCTCGCGGCTAGCAAGATAAGTAAGCGGATTCGCGAGGACGACGGGGATGGAGCCGAGAATGCTGTAAGGAGCTTTTTCAAGGGTATTGAGGCACTGAAGCAGGGGAAGCGGGGGCTCGGCGAGTCCGGTAAGGTTTGGGGTGAAAGCGGACCGGGTGGGCCCGGGGAAGGGAAGTGGGGGCGTGGAGGTCCGGGCGTTTGCTGCTCGTTTTTGGAAGAGAAGGTTGCGGTTTGGAGAATCCGGAGGACAACGATTAGGCTCAGCGCGCTCGCTGCCTGGTTGCTCGTGCAGAGTGGGAAGCTCACGTGGAGAGATTTGAGACTGTGAGTTTTCGTACCAATTCTCGTCGGCCCGACTAACCTAATTGTTCACAGCATCCGCCACACAGAATGGAACGACTACGATGGCCCCGGCGAGCCATTCACTGGCGGGATAACTGCACTGGCTAGTTCCATCACCGGTGTGGCCAAAGGAATCGTGACAGTCCCCTACAGCTGGTACAAGGGCGCCCGCCGCCTTGATTCGGAAGGCCTAGACATTGCCGGCGATTTCCATAACAGGAGTAAACCCAGATCACAGTCCTGCACCACCGCGGAACCCACCCCGCCAAGTCCTGAACCCAAACCACACCAGCCCGCTGACTCCAACTCGTGGAGAACCAAGAGCACCTCCCGCTCCCGCTCCCGTTCAAACTCCCCAAAAGACCCCATCCCTCTCGAAGTTGTCAAAACCACCTCCAAGGGTCTCTCCAAAGCTGCCCGAGCGGGCGCTCGAGCACCAATGGAAGTTTCTCTAGCTGTAGCCCAAGGCTTCCACAACGCCCCACGCCTCTATGGCGACGAAGTGCGTCACCCATACCGCATCACAGGCTTCCACTCGGGCCTTCGTGCCGCAGGCAAAGAATTCGCGCTAGGTGTCTACGATGGCGTCACGGGAATTGTTTCGCAGCCGTACCGCGGCGCAAAGGAGGAAGGGGTCAAGGGGTTTGCGAAGGGCCTGGGAAGGGGTGTTGCAGGCGGCGTGTTGAAGACCAATGCTGCAGCAGCTGGGGTTATTGGGTTTACACTCAAGGGTTTGCACCGGGAGGTTAGGAAGAAGAGGGATGAAGGGGTAGGGGAAGAGGTTAGGCAGGAGAGGATTAGGCAGGGGGAGGCGGAGGTTAGGGAGTTGGAGCGGGAGGGGGAAGAGCAAGTGCGCGAGGTTGGGGAGAGGATTAAGCACGAGTGGGATCGTGTGGAGGAGAAGAGGATCCGGGAGGTGGGAGATGTTGGGGTTAGGGATAGGGTTCGTGGGCGGTTGAGGAGGAGGAGGGAGGGGAGGAGGAGGTAAGAGGAAGGGAGGGCAGTGACGTTTAGTGGATAGGAGATGTTTGCATAATAGTGGTAATGTTGTAGTAATGATACCTAATTACTTTGCCATCATCCTCCACGACTCGATTTCTTGACAAAACCTCCGAACGGGCTGAAAGACTTTTTCCGACTATTTCATCAACCGTCCAGGGACCCGCCCCCCCGCATTGTTCCCTATTTACATAGGGGTAATGGTAATTCCTTAGTCGTTAGGAGTTTCTATGGATGGTACAATATAGTAGGGCGGTGTGCCTGGAAGCGGGTGCTGGGGTTGGTGTGATATTGTATCTGCACCGGTGTTTTGCCCCTATGGTGTTCTGTCCTGCATGTTATTGATGTATGATTGCCGCCTTCCGGAAGTTAAAGTGGCGGGGTTGTGAGGAGTCGGTCTGAGCCGTACGACAGATAAATAAGGGCCATTTCTCCAATATCAATTCTGGAGACATTATAGGCAGTTTAGTGCAGCTTCTTATACCGGTGTGGAAGTGACTTTTTAAGGATTGGATGGTGTTTGGTATGATAGCACCGCCCAGAAGTGGAGGAATTGAGAGCTCAGATATTGTACAAAGAGGTGGTGTTCTAAAGTCGGGAGAACCAAAATAGTGTGCCATATCCGCATAGGGATACCTCTAGAGATCTTGCAAGGAGGCTGCGCTATCATGATCCTTTCCTCAAGTGGCGGCGCTTTCGTGAACACTCCGGTATTCAGCTCGAGCGTGAAGATCCGAATATGGAGGGGATTATGGACTAGTCTATTGCCCCCTGACCTTTTTGCCCAAAAGTGGTCATGGCAGCCATTTAGTCACCTAGATAGAATACAGGTGCCCTATCGTCACAAGTATCATAATATTGTTTTACTCAGGCTGTCATGCTATACTCGCCGGTTCATTTGCCATGGGGACAGTCCACAACCCTAACCCACCGATCCCCCAACTGTAGAACACCCAATTCTAAATCTCCACAATGGGAAAAGTGAAAACTACCTACAAAATAATTGCTTGTTAAGAGTAGGTTTGGGACATGAGGGAGTAATAGCGCGAGTGAGAAATTTTTTATTCTTATTTTTAAGAAGGCACGTTGATTTTTTTCCTTGTGGTATGGGAGGGTTAGGGGTATAGACTGTCCGCGTAGCAGGTGAGCCAGCGAGTACTGTACTTGTGCAAATCGAGTTTTTGTGATGATTGGCACAGAGGTGTGCCAAGATTTGGTTGGCTAGCTAATGAATGAACGAGTGGGCAGAAAAGAGACAAATTATATTGACGACTAAAAAAATCCTAGGGCTCAGAGACATCCTTTAACTTGAACACAAGTTGTGTAGCTTCAATTACAGAGCTCGGGACTAAATTAATTCGGAGAACGATAGGCACCATATTTCTTTCACTGTCGTGGCAATCCCCACTCGGGGGAGTTATTTATGATATATATGGGTAAGTTAGAGGATCTGCGCATCTCAGAGACCAAACCAGATTACCCCCCCTCCCTGCCCCCGGCGTATACTACAACAGTCAAGAAGCTAGTCTGCGATCACAATGATAAGTTTTGCAGAGAACGCATGAAGGCGTTTCTATCGTACGGTCTTCACAAGGAGTTACGTCGGGGTTTGGTATGTACCTGCGAGTGAACGCCAAAAAGAACTGATGTAGTCCTTAAATCCCTAAATTCCAATCATTCACCGGTTTCTGGGAAGCCCCTTATCTTCGGTTTAGGTATACAGGAGGTGGGGGGCGCATATGTAGATCCTGAAGGACCCTCTAGGATGAGTTTTTCTATGCGGGGCCCCCCAAAAAAGAAGAAAGCCCAGACAACAGCGCCTCCCCGGTTTGGTAACTCGGATGGACTTATCCTGCTAAAATTGTTTCATGTATAATATCTGTTGTAATTTTTTCCCAAAATGAGGTTACCTTGCCCCGATCCATTTACCGAAAGCTATCTAGTTCCGGTAGTATTTTAGTTACTGCTGATATGGAGCAACGGAAAAGCCTGCAGGCAGAATTACGCGTGAGAACTTGAGTAATTGAGAACGCTACGAGGACGTCCAGAATTTCCTTCCCCCTTCGGATTAGGTGTGGGTTGCGGGGGAGGTACAGTTGAAGGGGCCCCCTGAACCCTCTCGGCTGAGACAACAGACTATTACTAGGAGAGGCGAGTCCAACCTCCTGGCTAGGTTTTGAATCGTTCCAATTCTTACGGTATCCAATTACCCTACCCCACCAACCATGCAGGAGTCACCCTACTTTAAGAAACCCTCAACCAAATCTTGAAAAGGGTTGGAGGGCACACAACCTGCAACAGGTATACCGATAAAATTACTGCTATGGTTCCGGCCGTCTACTCGTGCCAAGGTTGTGACTAACTGTCACAACCCCTGGTTGCTCGCTGGCTTGCAACCTGGGCACTCTCAAGAGAGTGCCTGCCAGCTCAACATGACTTGTGGCTCAATACAACTTTTTAGTGGCTCAACACAACACCCTGTGGCTCAAAATAATATTTTTGTAGCTCTATCTTACTTTATAAGTCTGCTGTATAAAATATTCTAGTTTACCTGTATTTTTCAAGCTTACTTGTTTCCTAATATCAAGAATTATAGGCTTTGATATTTTCTTTTTATAAGTTAAAATATTTTGCCTACTATTCTTTACATATAAACTTATCAAGAGTTCTATTATATCAGCAAAAATAAAAGCTTGTGTTCTGTGCGTCCTGTATGTCTGACACGCAGGACGCACAGGACGCAAACCCCAACTCAGGACATAATGGTCCTTGGTACCAAAGTTGTGATGCAACCGAGTACTCTAGGAATTCTCTGAATGCAACTGAGCAAACTCTAAATTCTTCGGGCGCAACCAGATGCAGCAGCCATTCTCTGGATGTGAGCAAGCACTTCCAAATTTTCAGGATGCAATATCAGGACTAGACCTTGTGACCTAAGTTACACATCATGTGTATTGTGAAAGTGTCAAAATAAAGATTACTTGTATTGATATTAGTTCTATAATACAGAGTACTAAAAGAAAAGCTCAAGCCCCCAAGTATGAGTAAGTACCCTATTCCCCCTTTATCCTAAATGATAACACAATAGGTATTGGCACTGGATAGATGTTCAATCCACCATTGGAAAGCCAGTGTCGAGTACAACCAGCGCACCTGAGGAATCCAGCATCAAAGGTAGTACTTTATCTGAGTAAACATGACTGTCATAACAGGGTGTAGCTCCTGCAGTATTGGTGCCGGGTAGACATCCTAGGTACTGTTTGAAAGCTGGTGTCAAGTAGAATCAGGCCACTAAGTCTCAGATGCTACACATAAAGAACATCTGAGGAATCTGGCATCAAGGTCAGCAATCTGCCAGAACTCGGCCAGGGTAAAGATCACTTTCATACTAGGCTATAGCTCCAACAATATTGGCTCTGGGTAGACGTCCTGGGTACCATTGGAAAGCTGGCGTCAAGTAGAATCAGGCCGCTGAGTCTCAGACATTATGCGTAAAGGACGCTTGAGGAACCTGGCATCAAGGTCAGCAATCTACCAGAACTCTGCCAGGGTAAAGATCACTTGCATACCAGGCTGTAGCTCCACCAATATTGGCGCCGGGTAGGCATCCTGAGTACCATTAAAAGGCTGGTGTCGAGTAAAACCAGGCTGCCAAGTATCAGATGCTGCGTCCAAAAGATGCCCAGGCAATCTGGCGTCAAAGTCAGCACTCCACCAGAACTCTACCAGGGTAAACACCACTTTCATAATGGGCTGTAGCTCCACCAATATTGGTGCCTGGTAGACGTCCAAGGTACCATTGGAAGGCCACTATCACGTAAAATCAAGCTCCCACGTCTCAGACACTTTGCCTAATAGATGCCCAAAGGATCTGGTGTCAAAGTCAGAACTCTGCCAGGGTAAAGACGACTTTCATAACAGGCTGTAGCTCCACCAATATTGATGGTGGGTAGACGTCTGACGTACTGTTGAAAAGCTGGTATCGAGTAGAATGAGGACACTGAGCATCAGATGCCAGTGCTGCACCCAAAGGCTGCCTGGGGAATTGCATGTCAAAAACCTTGGCCACTGGAACTGTGTAACGGGGGCTCCCTCAGGTAGATGGTTCCTAAGGATGCGACCGCACCAAACTTCAAATCTCTCGAACACAGCTCTTACAAAAGTGTAAAGAATAAAAGTAAACAGTAAAACTTAATATCGTTAAGCTCAGGCTTATCTCAATTAAAGTCTCTCGAGAGGATGTTGATTGTGTCGGGGTAGGAGAGTTCTCGTATAATCTTTAAGTAGTCAGACTTATACCAAAAACTCCCCCATCAGGTTACCCCG